TTCGATCACTGTAACCCCATAGCCTTCGTCAGGTGTTCGTTGACCTGGATAACCTTCAGTAAATTTCAAACTGAACTCTTTAATCTATAGAGGTTGATTGTCATTCTTCTGTCCATGTCTAGAGATATCTTGCCTTGTTCTTATTTCATACTGCTCAGATATTGCTCGCTCCCCATTTCCACCGCATCTTTACTACCAAACTTAGGGATTGAACTCCCGTTAACTGAACGTAAATAATGATAACTCCATATTTCAGAAAGGATTCTTCAGGTGTCACCTGGAGGAAAACGTGTCGCAAAAGCAAGGCAATTACTGTAGTTGATGATGGCAATGAAACAGCATATGCGAAATTCTGGCAGGAATGGCTTGCAAAGTTTTAAAATATGAGTTCTTGAAATCAAGGATAAGGTGAACAGTGGAAGATCTTAAACATTTTGAAGGGCGGTACAGCACAAACGGTCAAATGAAGTTAGAGAAGAAAATTTGATAGCGTTTAGGCATTTTTTTTTTTTTGTTCAGCACAGAACAAAAACTATGTTGGGACAAGAATAATGAGGATTTTGGTTGGAACTACAAGAAAAACAGAAACAGACAGCTGATATTTCTGGGACACATGAGGAATGAAGGATTCGAGAGTTTAACATTCAAAAGGATACACCGAAGGTAAAAAGCAGCAAGCAATCTGCTTGATGAGTTTGAATGAATGTATAGCAGAACAAGGTCTGCAAATGACAAAAAGATGTGGTAAGGAGTTAAGATTTACTTAGAACGACAAATGACAGGATGTTATTCGGGGACCCATGGCAGGACGTAAAAAATAGTTTTATCATGAGATTCGAAACCAAAAAGTCATGGTTAACATAGAGGAGTCTTCAACTTTTCGGTTCCGATTATATCTGTTGTTGAAGGGAAGTTCTTTTGTGTTAGGATTCAGAGGGAGGTTTATCATTTCACCCCAAGCAAAGCAATAAAGGCACTAAGACAAGGAGTACTTGAGAGCGAAGAAAACTGAGGAAACGTTATTGAGGAGAAGAGACAATGAAAAGAAAGCGATTCAATGTGACAGAAGGTGACGATTGACGTTGCATTTACATTTTTGGAAATCGTAGTTGACAGGAAAGCAAGTAACTGGAAGAGTTCCACATGCGAGAAGTGCAAGAGAAGAAACTGTTAGCATAGAACTTACGGTTACATTTAATAATGTCAACATCAAAATGATGGTAACCTAATTACCAGTATAGTACTATGAATGAAGTATACATACATTAATTGATGCAAACTATACAATGTTAGGGAAAACATAGAAATATTTGAAGTTTACTCAGATTGCATAATCTTTAATATGTATAGCTGGCCACTCGTATTGGAAGATACCTGTCTACTAGGGAGACTAACCAATCCCTATTGCAGAAGCTTGCCCAGGCGCATTTTGTGTTTATTCAACACCCACAGACCCCACCTGTGGTTTATACTGCAACTGTGCTGAGCAGACCTTAGTTACAGTTTCTGGGAAAGAGCGTGTTATCTAGCCTGATCAATAATTTGAACAAGGTCAGAACGCTCAATCTCTCGGCCACGATGACTTGTGACTTCGTGCTAGCAGAGCTACCGACGGCACCCAAGGGTTCCTTCTACCCAATTTCGCTCACAAAACTTGGATCAACCCGTGGTATGGTTTTCAGGAACTTCTCAAAGGTGCCACACGCTGGGATCGAACCTTCCAGTCCGATAACATCAGAAAGTCTCCTTCCTGAAAAATCATCCAACATACAAGATGTATATTTGGTATTGTTTACTAGAGTTTATGTGGTGGTAGGGGGAGGGGGAGGGGGTAGTTGTACGACGACAGAGGCACTGACTCACTGAAACAGAAATGTGTCGGAAATTGTTGACAGAACTTGAAATTACAGTGTAACCCGGATATAAGAGAAATTTTCTCTGGTCCCAAATTAGAGCCTGTGTTACCTAAACAAAATAGACCAAACCCGGATATAAGAGAAACCCGGATATAACAGACTTCTTCTCCGGTCCCGACAACTCTTATATCCGGGTTACACTGTAAAAGAAAAATTAAATGGAGTTCGATTTTGAGGCCAAGGTAAAAGGACACCCCGAAAGATCTAAGAATGAATTTGAAAACAGGAATTGAAGAAACATTTGGATAAAGAAAAAGAAAAACCTATAGCATTTTGCCGGGGGGGGGGGAGTGCCTCACATACAACAACATGGGAAAAACAATATATTAACGAATCCAAATTACGATGAAGGTTCATGATCAACTAACGAAATCTTTATGGTTCTTCATACTTTGCTTAACTTTTGGAAGGCATCTTTCTTTGCTATTCCAAAACGCCTTCAGATTTCGGTGTCATTTTCAGTTAAAACACTTCATAGAATTTTTGTACGCATTTGATTTTAATGTCTCCAGTTCTCATATTGAGCGGTTTCTTTTGCTGACAGCCAAACATTGTCTTCTTACAGTCATTTCTACTCACTTCCCTTTACTACTTTATGTAGGAGGGACTGTAGCTTACTTAAACAAAACAAAACAAAAAAAAAAACAAAAAAAAAACACACAATTTATTCCTTGTCCATTTAACAAAAATATGCATAAAAGTACGATGGCTGTATTATATATATATATATATATATATATATATATATATATATATATACATATAGCATATGGCACACAGTATGTTTCTATACATTGTGTCGACCCACCTGCCGAGAATTAATCAACTCTTTTCATTTATATTTATGGTATCAATACCCAATAATTGAATAAGAATCGATTTTTTTTTCTTTCTTTGCTAGTTCCATCATTTCTTTCTTCGTTCTTTCAATGGAAAAATTCTTGACAGGCTCATTTTTCTTGTTTCTCATAAAAAAAATAAAAATAAAATTGATTTTACCTCACAAAATTATCTATTGTTATCTTCTGCATTATCTTTTGTCGTTTTTCTTGCGTTTCAACTGATGACCCCCACCAATTCACAAAATGCTTATATATATATATATATATATATAGGGGGGCACTGAGAAGTACTTAGCCTAGATCATTTGATCGACTAATCAAATAGAATTTATTTTAAAATCCTTTCTTGGTCAGACTAAGAACTTAGAAAATTTTATTTCTCTTTATATATATTTTCTAAAGAATAAATGTTCAATTAATTTTTAATGGATACCCATGTTTGAAAAAGCCCCGGTTTCGTTTTTTGTTAAATAAATAAATAAAGAGAGAAAGAGAAAGAAAGAAAAAGTGCATTACGTCTACCGGCCTGTGCACTTTTTCTTAATGTTTTTCTTGGTACACAGGCAGATAGACGCAATAAGTAAAAACAAAATACAATAAGCGGAACGTCTATTTCAAACAGGTGTATGCACTATATATATATATATATATATATATATATATATATATATATATAATTACACACGCACGCAAGTGGGCTGAGAAGTACTTGGCCTGAACCAGCTCACAGAATCTGAGCAAATAATCAAGCAATTTATTTTAGAAGCCCTTCTTGTTGTAAGAGCTTTTCAGTGTTATATAACAGAAATTTGTACTTCATTTAAATGAGAAGGATAATTTTGTAAGAATTTATTTAAGGCAAGGTCTCCTGAAGAGTGGCTGTGATTCCATGTAAGAATAAAGACATTCAACAGCTAAGTGTATTTACATATTTATTATTAAATATTATTGTCATGATTACGATAATATTGAGACAATGTCTACAATAGAAATTACACACAATTATATTAAGACAGTTAAGTGCCATACGCGATACACGCTTGGGCGATCATGTCTGTTTCAATTCACGACTGGCTAGGCAGAAGATTTTCCCCACGGTAAGTTGACATTTATTTCGCAGTAGACCGGTTGCCAAGCAAGGCTATAGGACCCAGCCTGTCTTACTATTTAACTCATAGGTGGTAGGGGAGGAAGGGAAAGTAGAGATGGCTTCCCACCTTTCCCAAGGGTATTTGGGTGGCAGTGAATATAACGAACTCTACTATAGTAGTAAAAACTAAAATCCTTGAAAACTTATACACGAACTCAAAGACAAAGAGTGCTAAATTGCTATGTAATAGCAATCCTTCAATATGGCTGTGAATGTTGGCCAGTTTCCTCACAGATGAAGGGTAGAATGAAGGAAATGTGGTTCTACAGAAGGATGTCGAAAATATTAACTAAAAAGATAGTGATCAGAAATTTGTGGGACCCATAATGAGTGTTCAGAGACTTTAATACGCACAGGACATACTGAAAGCAGTAGTGTGGGGAAAACAGCGAGTGGGCTACTTAACTGATGACAGAGAGAATGAAAATGAGAGAGAATGAGAATGAGAGAGAATGAGAATGAGAGAGAATGAGAATGAGAGAGAATGAGAATGAGAGAGAATGAGAATGAGAGAGAATGAGAGAGAATGAGAGAGAATGAGAATGAGAGAGAATGAGAATGAGAGAGAATGAGAATGAGAGAGAATGAGAATGAGAGAGAATGAGAATGAGAGAGAATGAGAATGAGAGAGAATGAGAATGAGAGAGAATCAGAATGAGAGAGAATGAGAATGAGAGAGAATGAGAGAATGAGAGAGAATGAGAATGAGAGAGAATGAGAATGAGAGAGAATGAGAATGAGAGAGAATGAGAATGAGAGAGAGAATGAGAGAGAATGAGAGAGAAGAGAATGAGAATGAGATGAGAATGAGAGAGAGAGAGAGAGAAGAGAGAATGAGAGAATGAGAATGAGAGAGAATGAGAATGAGAGAGAGAGAGAATGAGAAAATGAGAGAGAATGAGAGAAAGAGAGAGAATGAGAGAATGTGAGAGAATGAGAGAATGAGAGAGAATGAGAGAGAGAATGTGAGAGAATGAGAAAATGAGAGAGAATGAGAGAATGTGAGAGAATGAGAAAATGAGAGAGAATCAGAATGAGAGAGAATCAGAATGAGAGAGAATCAGAATGAGAGAGAATCAGAATGAGAGAGAATCAGAATGAGAGAGAATCAGAATGAGAGAGAATCAGAATGAGAGAGAATGAGAATGAGAGAGAATGAGAATGAGAGAGAATGAGAATGAGAGAGAATGAGAATGAGAGAGAATGAGAATGAGAGAATGAGAATGAGAGAGAGAGAATGAGAGAATGAGAAGAGAGAATGAGAATGAGAGAGAATGAGAATGAGAGAGAATGAGAGAGAATGAGAATGAGAGAGAATGAGAATGAGAGAGAATGAGAATGAGAGAGAATGAGAGAGAGAATGAGAGAGAGAATGAGAGAGAGAATGAGAGTGTAAGCAATCAAACGTTGCTCAGAGCTATAAGAAACAGGAAGTTGCGGAGAGCCATGATCACCCACGTTCTGGATGGAAACAGCACATAAAACACATACATACATACACACACACGACTATGCTAATAAACAAGAGTCAAATAAAAATGATGTTGCAGTTTAAAATGTTGGACACGAAAGTCAGCATCTATAAGTTAGTGAATGGGAAAACAAGCCCTATGTCTTGGCGAGGGTGGGAGATACCAGCCCCACCCATACTCCTTCAAGTAGGTTTAATGAATGAAGGCTGGGCATATAAATAGAGAAGGTTGGGCTTGGTCATAAAGTACATCTAATTGCAATCCCGGTGGGACAACGAACATGTAAATAGGATTCCACTGCTACAAGAGATTTGGGGCTTATAAAAACTCAAGAACAAACAAGACATTTAATCGCTGTCAGAGTTCCTGGGATGAGGAATTATTTACATTCAGACTAATGTCCTCATTTTTGTTGTTAGCATCACACAAACAATGCCCGGATCTCAATCCCACTGATCGCAGAACGTCTATTCACGTAACTTGAAGTAGTTAAAAGGTTCAATGTATTTTAAAAACTACTTTTAGTTTCATACAAATACAAAAATTTAAAATTGGTTTATTTTTGTAAGCATTATGAGAACTGTTTGTTAATGGAACATCGGAGTTATTTATGACCACAATTTTATTTTACGAGAAGTCAATATTAGGGAAATCTCTCTCTCTCATATATATATATATATATATATATATATATATATATATATATATATATATATATATATATATATATATGTGTGTGTGTGTGTATAAGGTATGCTATCGTCATAGGTAAAAGTGCTCAACATCAGAGAGAGTGTATATAAGTATAAAAGTGTACATGAGATCAACACCAAGCGTCGGCAGTCTGTTTCATGCTTGAACACAATCTTCATATTGGCGCATATATATAATTTTATTCCATCGAACAAGGTTTGTTTACGTTGATGCGAATACTCTATCACCCGTAAGGATTGCCAGAAAGAATATATTGGAGAAACACAAAGAAGTTTAAATAAACGATTGTATGAACAAAAGAGACATTTAAAAAAAAAAAAAATAAATAAAAAATAAATTAAATGCATTATTTGCCCACCGTAACGAGATGGGCTAAAATTTTTACATAAAAATGCTACTCTAATTCCCTAAGACTGAAATGTTTAGCAAGTGCTTTAATCTAGTTCATCTACAGTAGATTTGTATACAACTTCTCACCATTCTGTTTTCATTCTGTGGGATATTTAACAACAAAAATGATGGAATCGGCTTGATTATATATTCAAAACACATACAAAAATTTTAATTATTTTTTTTTTTCCAAATTTAAAATTCCCAACATCTCCCGTTCGTGCGCATGCGTAGTGGTATCAACGTAAACAAACCTCGTCCGATGAAGTCCTAAAAGGACGAAACGCGTCAAATTTTTTGTACTTCGAAGATGTATGACAAAGTGAAAATTTATAAATAATGTTTTATATATTATAACAAAACAAAAAAAAAAAAAAAAAAAAAAAAAAAAGACAGTAAGTAATTTAACTCTGAAAGGACAATTTCTGTGACCTTGACATCTTTTAAAATGTAATGAGATATCCATAGAAGGTCTAATTAGTTTTTTTTCAGCTTCGTGACCAGGTCACGTCGGCTTATCTCAGCTACAAACAGATTAGAGGGACAATCGATACACACACACATAATTATATATATATATATATATATATATATATATATATATATATATTACTTGCAGTAACTAAATAATTACACGCTTAAAATGGGAAATAGTCGTACGATTTAAGTACCCCGTGCGTGTATGTGTGTCGGGGAAGGTGGGTGCTCGTTCAATTTCATGGCTTAGTCATTATCAGTTTGACCATTATTAATCAAGGCAGTGAATACTGGACAATTTCATCACAGATGAAGAGGAGACTTGAGAGAACAGATGTGATTTTACAAAAAAAAAAAAAAAAAAAAAAGCTGAGAGTAGAGCAGCTGGAACATGCGAGGAAAGGGGGCTTGGAAAAACTGACACTCACTGGATAAATTGAAAGCAAGAAGGATAAAGGAAGCTAGCAACCTAATGAGTTTATGGTGGAACAGGGGGAGAAATAGTACAAAGACAAATAACGTCTCTCGTTCGTGCGCATGCGTAGTCGCGTCAACGTAAACAAACTTAGTTTAGTGAAGTCCTAAAGAACGAAACGCGTCACACGAAAACCTTTTCCACTTTGTTCTTATATATATATATATATATATATATATATATACACACACACACGTGTGTGTAACTGTAAAGCAAAAAGAAATCAACGAGCCGAATTTGTTGCATTTATTTTTACTCATGTCCGAATTAAATACCTGGGTAAACTGACCTCTCAAGCCATGTTTGACAACCGGTCTAGGGGAATGAAAATCCCAAATTGAAAACCAGTTATGTAGTTCTGGTGACGCGCCTCCTATACAGTCATTGATCAGATTATGGGATTAACAATTAACTGTGGCGCGGGTGTTGTAGACTATGATATTGACTGTGATCAAATGAATACATCTCGCGTATAAAGTTGTTGAAATGTTCTAAATCCGATCAAGAAAGGATTCCTCAATAATTTCTCATATTTGATTATTAGTTTAGATTTTGGCAAGCCGGTCGGGCCGAGAACTTTCCAGCACATCCTCATGTGTAAATGCCTGTCATTAGGAAGCTGACCTTTAGAAAAGAGTGTAGACTAATTTCACAAAGAGAAACGAATGCCGAATAAGTGTTACAGTACCATTCCTTCGATGCTCCATAAACGAGGGCAATGTTTAACCTTCGTGCCCCCCCCAAAAAAACAAAATGCAGTGTCTTAAAAGGACGGTTATTCCCTTGACACCGATATTACTGTATACGCTTGCGATTTCCTCGGCAATGTTTATGGTTTCAAAAAGCGAAATTGACAATGTTTAATAAAATTTTATTTCATAGTCCATTGGTATTTTTATAAAATTCCGATTTTAAAAAAAACGAACCCCCCCCCCCAAAAAAAAAACACCACACACGAATTTGTTTTCAGTCATTTATAAAATGGTAAAAAGGTAAAATGGTAAAATCAAATATTGAACTGACTAATTGGATTACTCCAATGTGCCGTAATGGTTAGCAAGCTTGTTTCGTAATCTTCACCGAAAGAAGGAGGTTTGAGGCCTTATGCCGCATCTAAGTTCAGTCAGTCAGTTATGTGCCATACGCTTAGGCGATCACGTATCTTTCGATACATGACTGACGAGGCAGATTTTTTCCCTGCAGTAGGTTTCCATTTCTTTCTGCAGTACACAAGTTGCCATCCATTGCTGTAGAATAAAGAGGATTCATGCCTTTCCCAAGGGTATTAGCATGTAAGTCAATGTAATGGATACGAGTGGAATTCAAACTTACGCTTCCTAAATAACTGATTTGAAATCAGCTAAATACGATTTGGGGGCTGTAGGTACTTTTTTTTAAAGCCGATATATCTTACGCACTTAAATTGGCGCATCACAATCTTCCTCTTCCTTCTAAGCTAAGCTTATTAAATATCTAGCTAGATTATATAAATCTGTCATATTCGCGTGAGCATATAATATTCTGGATAAAAAAGTTGAACAGAGTTAAATAAGCAAATAAATCTTTGTGGTAAAAAATGCGGAAATAAATCGAAAGGAAGGGCCTGATTATCCGAGAAATAGTCGCTATAACACACAAAGAGAGTAGCAGGTTGAGAAGAAAAAAAAGAATCAACACTTGACTGAAGCCATGTTTACTGCCTCGGGCATAGAAGGGTTAATAAATCAAGGGAGACAACTAAGGTTGCAGTTCAGATTGAATATATAAAATTTATGATACACAGCCTTACATAAGTATTTCATCGATTGGATAGGATTTATTATAGTTTTTCGTGCATAGTTACAATGTTTAAATGATTTTAAATTAGAAATAAAATTGTCTTATTAATACTAGTAAAGAAATTGTTAGTTTTAAAATGGCAAAAACTAGTAGAATCTGTTGTGTCGTTTAGTTTAGCAATTCGATTGTGATGGTAGAAAATAATACATTCTCCGATGGTATTTGTAGGAAAGTGAATGTATAAAAATCGTACGACTGACTGGGCTCCGTAGCCATGTTTGCTAATCAGTCTAAGAGAAGGACAACTTTTTTTTCTTTTTAAATCAGTTCACGTTAAACAAGGCGATGATACCACTAAGACGCAAGGGGCTATTACAAGTGAAACAGAATTAAGAGACTTTAGAAGGAATCGGAAACCAAAGTCTAAACAGTGAACAAAGATTAAACCTTTATTCCTGTTCAAAAGACCGGAGAGGAGCATAAACCGGACGATAGACGAATCTAGATACACCTATATTGAATTGTTATTAATTTTGAATCAAGCAATACATTACTCCCATTTGGGTTACTATTTTGACGTCGAAAGTCGCTATGAATCTTTACTTAGCCACCAAATCGCACTTATCGAATAGTATGCGAAGCGCATATTGTTTGATATCTTGTTATGGCTTATCAAGCAAATAAATCTTGGGATAGAACTGAATGATATATATATATATATATATATATATGAGAGAGTCAAAACCAATATTTTTATTTATTCTGACCACCACGAAATTCCAACTTAACTTCACCCACACAATTCAAGCATGATGATATTTAAGTCCCACTGCAATGCAATGCAGGAACAGCTGTGATTAATGGCTTTAAAGCAACTCACATACGGAAAAAGAGCAATCAGTTACAATATGAAGTTGATTCTATTAAGACAATCGCAAAATATCTAACTTCGTGATAAGAAAGCAATTTATTTCATAATCTTTCTTTCTTTTTTTTTTTTTTTTTAAATACAATTGATCTTCATTCTTGGGGTGGGGTCAATTATAAAACATTGCGAATGTGGTCCGAATAAATGTAGCGGGGATTAGAGTGGTGATGGTGGCCGACCCCATAAAAATATCGAAACGAATGAAGAAAGTGAATTCAGATTTTAGCTGTACGGGAATTCATTTAAGTTTAAAGCAATTGTTGTTGGCAAAAGAGATTTGTAGAGGGTTTGATGGCACTGAGTATGCAAAACACCTTAGATAAGAAAATGAAAAGGTAGATAGGTGGCGAAATGTGTGTGGTTAGGGGGAGACAGAGATTATATAAATAAAAAGCGTTCCGTTCTTAACTAATTTTTGTCATGTTGTTTCAGTGGTCAATAATACATTTGCATGTCAGTAAAATCAGCCATACATGAGAGAAAGGATGACAGAGAGAAAAAGAATGACAGAGAGAGAGAGAGAAATGAGAGAGAGAGAGAGAGAGAGAAAAAGAATGACAGAGAGAGAGAGAGAAAAAGAATGACAGAGAGAGAGAGAGAAAAAGAATGACAGAGAGAGAGAGAGAGAGAGAAAAAGAATGACAGAGAGAGAGAGAGAGAGAGAGAGAGAAAAAGAATGACAGAGAGAGAGAAAAAGAATGACAGAAGAGAGAGAAAAAGAATGACAGAAGAGAGAGAAAAAGAATGACAGAAGGGGGAGAGAAAAAGAATGACAGAAGGGAGAGAAAAGAATGACAGAAGGGAGAGAAAAGAATGAGAAGGAGAGAAAAGAATGACAGAAGAGAGAGAAAAAGAAAATGACAGAAGAGAGAGAGAGAGAGAGAAAAAAGAATGACAGAAGAGAGAGAGAGAAAAAAAAAAGAATGAAGAGAGAGAGAGAGAGAGAAAAAGAATGACAGAAGAGAGAGAGAAAAAAAGAATGACAGAGAGAGAGAGAGAGAGAAAGACAGAAGAGAGAGAGAGAAAAAAGAATGACAGAAGAGAGAGAAAAAAGAATGACAGAAGAGAGAGAGAAAAAAAATGACAGAGAGAGAGAGAAAAAAAGAATGACAGAAGAGAGAGAGAAAAAAAGAATGACAGAAGAGAGAGAGAAAAAAAGAATGACAGAAGAGAGAGAGAAAAAAAGAATGACAGAAGAGAGAGAGAAAAAAAGAATGACAGAAGAGAGAGAGAAAAAAAGAATGACAGAAGAGAGAGAGAAAAAGAATGACAGAAGAGAGAGAAAAAAAGAATGACAGAGAGAGAGAGAGAGAAAAAGAATGACAGAGAGAGAGAGAGAAAAAAAGAATGACAGAGAGAGAGAGAAAAAAAGAATGACAGAGAGAGAGAGAGAAAAAAAAGAATGACAGAGAGAGAGAGAGAAAAAAGAATGACAGAGAGAGAGAGAAAAAAAAAGAATGACAGAGAGAGAGAGAGAAAAAAAAAGGATGACAGAAGAGAGAGAGAGAAAAAAAGAATGACAGAAGAGAGAGAGAGAAAAAAGAATGACAGAAGAGAGAGAGAGATGACAGAAAAGAGAAAAAAAAAAGAAGAGAGAGAGAGAGAAAAAGAAGAGAAGAGAGAAAGAAAAAAGAATGACAGAAGAGAGAGAGAGAGAGAAAAAGAATGACAGAAGAGAGAGAGAGAGAAAAGAATGACAGAAGAGAGAGAGAGAGAAAAGAATGACAGAAGAGAGAGAGAGAGAAAAGAATGACAGAAGAGAGAGAGAGAGAGAAAAGAAGACAGAAGAGAGAGAGAGAGAAAAAGAATGACAGAAGAGAGAGAGAGAGAGAGAAAAAGAATGACAGAAGAGAGAGAGAGAGAGAAAAAGAATGACAGAAGAGAGAGAGAGAGAGAAAAAGAATGACAGAAGAGAGAGAGAGAGAGAAAAAGAATGACAGAAGAGAGAGAGAGAGAGAGATTAGAAGAAGAGAGAGAGAGAGAGAGAGAAAAAGAATGACAGAAGAGAGGAGAGAGAAAAAAGAATGACAGAAGGTTGAGCATCAAGATTCTTGGAAAAGGGACAGTAAGACAGGAACCAGTAAGACAGGAAGCGGTGGGGTGTGTGTGTGTGCGTGCGGGGAGACGAAGCCAGTAGTTGCAGCAGTCGTAAAGCGGGTGGAAGACGGGGAGAATGGCAGGAAACTGCTGCTCGAGATGCTCCCATTGGGATAGAAATGGATTCAACATGGAATCTCCCAAATGGAGAAGGGAGGACAGGTATCAACAAAAGAGAATGGCCAACCGAGTGGGAGAGAAATGGTTTAAATAAAGAAATAAAAAAAGAGAGACATGTTGCACTTTGAGAAATTGAACAGAGATTTGAGGCCAAAACACACACAAAGATGGAAGAGAACTGCTGCGTCTATAAGAAAAAAGAAAAAAGAAAAAAGAAAAAAGCTCAAGGAAAAGAGTCGGGGAGAGATCCGGGAGAAAATCTGCGATATTGAAATTTAAAAGAAATTAATAGAAAGCCTTTTGATTATATAACCCCATCCCTTCCACACACCGAGATGAAGAGAGAAGAAAATTGAGTGGCTCACGCGCGTGCGCGCGCACACACACACACACACACACATGTGAGAAACCGAATCACATGACGGTGAGATGCTACTACACATCAATTGAAAGTACTCGACGAAGAAATTTGTCATTCTAAAAAGAAAATATATGATGGGAGAGAGAGAGAGAGAATGACGGAGACAGGGGGGGGGGGGGAAGAGAGAGACAGTGGGGGAAGAGAGAGAGAGACGGAGACTGGGGAAGAGAGAGAGAGAGGACGGAGACTGGGGGGGGAAGAGAAAGAGAGTGACGGAGACTGGGGGGGAAGAGAGAGAGAGGACGGAGACTGGGGGGAAGAGAGAGAGAGGACGGAGACTGGGGGGAGAGAGAGAGTGACGGGGAGACAGTGGGGAAGAGAGAGAATGGGGGGGAGACAGAGTGGGGGGGACTGGGGAAGAGAAAGAGAATGACGGAGAGGGGGGGGGGAAGAGAGAGATGACGGAGACAGTGGGGGAAGAGAGAGAATGACGGAGACAGTGGGGGGGGAAGAGAGAGAATGACGGAGACAGGGGGGGGGGAAGAGAGAGAATGACGGAGACAGTGGTTTAAAGAGAGAGAATGACGGAGACAGTGGGGGAAGAGAGAATGACGGAGACTGGGGGGAAGAAAAAAAAGAGAGAGAATGACGGAGACTGGGGTAGGGGGGAAGAAAGAAAAGAGAGAGAGAATGACGGAGACTGGGGTAGGGGGAAGAAAGAAAAAGAGAGAGAGAATGACGGAGACGGGGTGGGGGGAGAAAGAGAAAGAGAAAGAATGACAGAGACGGGGCGAGGGAGAGAGAGAGAAAATTGGTGAAAACAACTATGTAACGGACGCATGAAGTAATACGAAAAGATATCGACTCTAGTAATCGGACTATTTTCTCCAGCAAAATTTGTACAATTTCCAATCTGTTTTTTTTTTCTTGTTGGGGTGGGAAGTCTATTCAGATTTCACACGCACATTATATATATATATATATATATATATATATATATATATATATATATATATATATATAAAGTCAAAGACTTATCCATCCAGCTCTTGTGCAGTTTTGACGCATGATAAAAATAGTTGTTTTAGTAGTTTAACGACCGGAAATCAACAGTACTCCCTCACGCACACGCAAGAGAGAAAAAAAACCTGTTCCCACCTCCTTTTTTCATTCCTTACAAGGATGGACTCACCCTCATTATGTTTCTAAAAATAGCCAGAGCCTGTTGTCAAGGGTAACAACCTCGAGTGCTGTTTCAATTCAGAAAGGAACGAAGATGGTTTTTTGTTTGTTTTTAATAAGTTTTTCTTTCCAATGAAAAAAAAAATAAAAATAAAAAAAAAAATAAAAAATAAAGAAATAAGACAGACAACCATACAAACGCAAAAATAAACACCCTCCCCCCTTTCACCCATCGTTCCCTTTTAAAAAGGAAACATTGTGTTATTAAAAAATATCCGAGTTTCTTTTTGCTGATTCCCCCCATAATGTTACCCTCTCCGCCACCTTTTTTATGAATCCAATTTTTTAAAAAAAAGAGGAAAAAGGAAAGAAGAAAAAACATTTTTCGGATTTTTCATGCAAATTCATGAAATTAAAAGAAAAAAAATCTTACACACACACACACACACGTGTGTATACACGACTATTACAACAAGTACACAACAAATAAAAAAGTACCCAACATTATTGTTCGTTTTTCATTGTAAGAGAAAGAGAGAGGTAGAAAAAAAAAAAAAAAAAAAAAAAAAGAAAAGAAAGGGTAACATTGTTTTCAATAGGAAAAGTGAGCATCATGGAGTCCAGTGTCCAGAATTTACTTTCTGCATCACGTTTTTCTTAATTTTTGCTCGCGTGTTAATCTTAAAAGATTAAGTAATTTAAGTCCAGCTGATTTTTGTAAGAGATCATCTTAATTCTATAAGCAGTTCACGATTTTTTTTTGTGTCATCTTTGAAAGACTTCAGTAAATCATCAAACAAAATCCGTAAGGTGTATATTTCTCCCTATTTTGTGCAATAATTGTAATCCTTGGAATAGTTTAAGGGGAAAAAGAAATAAATCATCCGTCCAGCAAGTGAATATTTTCCAAGATTTTCAACACATCCGTTATTCCTTTAGTTGATTCCATTTTGAAACCAGTAAGGTTGGTTGGTAAGTCAGTATTTATAAACTGTTCTTTTTATGCTGTGTATCAAAAGTAGTTAAGAATTTAATTTTAAAAGATATCCGTGAGAAAGAGAAAATATTTCCCCATTTTAATTTTTCCATTAATTTTT